TTAATTTTCAAAGGGTCTTTATATTTCTCATACTGCCTGTGCTGCAGCACCTCTTTTCCCCCTCTGTCTGAAACCAGAGCCCAGTCTGCTCTGATTGGTTAATTGCTTAAAGATGATCCACCCCTTAGCCAATCACGTACAATATGTTGGAGTGCTCACCAATAGAAGCGTAAGTGTTACAGTACATAGTGATGTCACTATGGAAAGGGAAAGGGAAAACCCCCAAAAGGGCCCCTTTAACTGGTGATATTTTGCTGTAGAAAATGATCAAAAAGCATAATTGAATTCAGGAGTCAAATTGATTTGGCCTCTTTTTAAAATGTGAATTAAGTAGAAGTGAAGCAGTTGAGGCAGGGCGGTGAGAACAGAGCCAGGTTCCCTTATGTAGTTACAGCAGTGTGTGTGTCTCTGATAGCACTTACTGGTCTCTCTATCATCACAGATGGCTGTCTGTGGTTTCCAAAGAACTTGCGGTTATTGTACAGATGTGCATTTTTGTCTGTTTATGTGTGCACATGCTTGTGAACATACTGCATGTGTGCGTCTGAGAGTGCATTTGGCCCACCGTGCTTTCCTGCTGAGGGTCTAATTTCAAAAACACCCTCTAACACATTTACACCATAGTGAAGCAGACACTTAACGGAGGCACCTGATGCCAAAACACGGAGCCAACATTAGCAGCCAAAGTAAAATATATAATCTAAAAAGCCACATAACAGTGTTAGTAAAGGAACTATACTCAACAGCTCTCAGTGCAGAGGGACATTAGCCTGATTGGGAGAGAATGGAAGGAGAGGGGTTCCATCATGGAAATCAAAGGAGCAGGTCACGTAGTTTGAAATATTAACTGATCAAATAATATGTTGTGTACAGTTACATAAAGATGAATGGTTGGCATTTTAAAAAGTGCAGGAATTTGTTTTAAAAACCAGAAATTGGTATTTTTGCACTTCTGGTTTCCTCCACTTACTGTACTAGACTGCTGTTACCACAAGATTAAGAGATGTCAAAGTTTTGTGTTACGACATGAAAAAACAGCAGTTAATACCCTACACTTTTAAGCTTTTGATGTGTCTTGAATAAAGCTGTCGTAGCAAGGGGTTAATGATATTACTAAACTGCAGATTATATTTACGCTTCTATAATCTAAAATCCAATGCAAATATTCTACTGGCGTCTAGGGAACCAGTGCAATGCTAACTTCCGGGTTGGCAAACAGAAATATTTGCAACCCTGCAGCACTCTAACACGCTAACAACCTCGCAAACAACAATGCTTACATGAGGAAGTTTAGCTAGAAGGTGCAATGTGGATCATGTTTACCATTTAAAGGGGCCTACACACCAAACTGACACCAAAGAACACGTCCCGACGGAACACGACTGTTAGATTAGATTATTAGCATGGTAGGATTTGCTATCACAAAACCGAAAGAACAGATTAGGAGGGAACGCCGTCACTCTTGCATGTATTAGTATAGTACCATAGTATAGGACAATCATAATTGCATTAATAATGAGTTTTAATAACTTTTTCCGTTGTCTTCTTCAGTTTTTAAATCACATGTTTCTTTAGAGCATTACATTTGAAAGACCTCTCACGACAAGATATACTGAGTTGCCAAAATTGCCACACCAGTGACAGAATCTCTTAAATGTTTTGTAAAAAAATTGCAAAATTAAAAACGAGTCCTGCATAGCATGTTACAGATGACAGTCAGTAAGATTCGGTCCCTCAGTCCCTCGCAGGAAGTATTCAGTGGAAAGATGAATGGAGGCAATCCTTCCTCCCCATCAACCACCTCATTAGTCCCTCTCAGCCATAAAGCCGTCCCATCAGGCCGCGCTGTCATAACTCACTTTACAGCATTGATTTTAATCACGGCAAATGTAAACATACGTATTATCAATATCAATGCACAAAATAACGCTGTAATATGCAATTACCGAGTGGCATTGATTTTTTTTCCCTCTCCCCCTTTCTCCTCTTTTTTGTCCTCC